ACGATTCTGGCAACATGTTTGCTATAGCTCGTCTGGACTTTACACTCATCAGCATCGAGAGAGCTATTACACCTCCCTGAGCACAGTTCACTAGAGCAAGAATTCGTCTCATTATCAGTGAATGTGGCAACCATCCAGCCAACATTTGCACAAACCAACTAACACCCAGTATGATTGCAAGTTTGCCACAGATTCCAACCAGGTTCTTCCTTTTCTCTCGTCTCTTCTTCTCCTCCTCATTTTCTGGTGAGCATCTGATCTGCGCCTCCTTGGACAATCGACAGATTTGTATACACACCACAATCACAGCCACAATATTGAAGCTAATGACTGTACCCACAGGCACTAGGAACCAAACACACAATCCACCAAAATTCGTGAACCAAGCTCGAGCCGAATCCGGACAGAAACCAGGATCAATGATAGACAGACAGGACCCAAGTACTTCTATTCGAGTGATGTTTTCAAATACACCAGATTGCATTGCTTTTAAATCAGCCTCATCCAGTGTTTTGGATGGTGATGGAGTAGATAGCTGTGTGTAGATTGGAGCTAATTGATTGAAGGCTTTCTCGTTCACCAATACAGCAAGAGAAGACATGCAGAGAGGAAATATGACAGCTGGTGGGGCATATTGCAGAAATCGTTTCTTTGGACTGATCGTACGACGACCTTGTGAGTACACTGATACAGACTAGAGAAGAAAGAAATGGTTCTGTTTGATAGGTAATTTATTTGCATTATCTAAAGTTAATGATTATAATGATTGTGAATTTGAGATAGGTATTTCTATCTGACAACCTGAAGAATTTTAAGAACAGACAATTTGCTAATTGGATTGTTTATAAGATTGGAAATAATTTTGGTCCAGGTCGAGTTAGTCAATGTCCAATAAGGACAGTGAAATTACAAACGTGTTTTCTAACAACCACTGGTGGCTAAAATATAGCAATACAATGTAGGTATGAGGGTAGGGGGGGGGAATGATTGTGGGTGGAGAAATTAATTATTTCCAGCTGTGAAAATTATGGGTGATTTTCATTTTTGCCTTCTTTACGCCTATTATATTGCTTCAAGCCCAGTTTTACAGACACAAATGAGAAATCACTATTTGCCAGTCCATGATATTTCTTTAGAGCATGTATTGTTCCCTTTCCACAACCACGTATTTAGAATGCCCTCCCAACATTGATTCAACGATAGAAGAAGAATGCGACACTTTCTATCCTTAATTGTGTTCATCTACATATCCTAGCTTATGCAAACCAAACCCTCTGCACCTCTAAAGAAGCAAAGGTTACTACTTTCTAGTGATGTTTGAGTAGTCGGTTGATTCCATTAAATCTTCATATATTCCACTTATTCACAATAAATTCAATCACATTATGTTTTAACAGTCATTGACATCATGCATTCTAAAACGAGTTTCTCATTTTACCTAATGATATGAGCAAGTTACATTTTTAGTAATTAATAAATTAAAACGGTTGTTAGTAGCATCAATTTTCATGAAGCTAGGTGATTTACCTCGCCTTCAGTGGCAATATAAAAGCTAGACCGATTTGAAGTGAGATGAATAATAGATAAAGATAGTGGAAAGTACCCGATTCAACAGGTATTTTGAATTCGTCATCAACTGTGTTGCCTGCTACTGAAAAAGCTCTTCCATCTTCTTTCAAGTTATCATATCTCGTTGAATGATAGAGTTAACTACAAATACTCCAAGTATAAATGCAAACAAATACCAACACCTCGAAATAAACAATGCTGTGCCGCCAATCTCACTTCTTTCAAATGGGTTGAACACTTGGTGTTTTTTGCAAAAATATACAAAACAAGAATTACAGCTGGTGGGGCACATTTCAGAAATCGTTTCTTTGCACTGCTCGTACGACGATCTTGTGAGTACACTGATACAGACTAGAGAAGTAGGGATTTTGACTGTTAGAAAAGTAATTCATTTACATTAACCGAATCGTATGATCATAAAGGTGTTATTTCTATTTTCATCATGTGAACAATTTTAAGAACAGAGAAATATATTCATTGGATAGTTTGAAACTTTGGAAATAATCTGAGCACACGACGAATTAACGTTTCTCACAACAGATTTTTCTACTATACCTTTCCCCCAGATAGCGTTTTTGTCTTTGTCTCACTAAATTTTTAAAAATTCTATTATGGCAATGATTTCACAAAAAACCACCAATGATCAAAAGATAATAAATCATTTTTGATTTGTGAAGAGTATGTAAAGTAATTCGTCTTTACACAAATCCCATATTTTCCACGCACTATTCTAATCCTCCTTCATGCAACATGCTTGAACGTTGCCAATTTTCCCCCCATGAATATATTCTCGATCCAATTTCACACATTACCAAAGTCCATGAAACTTCTTCATTTCGTTCGGAAATATACCGGGATATTCGCCTCCAGTGGCAATACAAAAACTAGACTCAAATTGAAGTGTGATGCAATACATAAGAAGATGGCATGAAATTCCTCACTCAACAGCAACTCACCTCCCACCTTCAAATGTACTTTCTGTTACTGAACAAGCACTCAGATCTTCATTCATGATGTTATATTTCGTGGAAATTTGGAATTCACCACTAACAATCCAAGTAAAAATGCTAACGAGTGGCAGCACGTAAAAATCAACAACTTTCAAATGGATTGAGCACCTGGTGCTTTGGCAAAAATACGCAACACCCTAGCAATTATAAACAAGAAGGATTGCGTGGATTTCACCACCAATTAAGATTTTTCTCGGACAAAATTTAGGGTTACATATGAATGGGTAGGGGCTTTTTTCGATGAAATAAATTAAAAATAAATACTAAAATATTCAGTAAATGTCAAAAGCAGTTGAAATACACATCCATTCACGTAGGTAGATAGCACCCATTTATCCATATAAATCAAATTATTATTAATATTTACATTCAGGCATGCAAATTTCCTTTTCCTACGAATTCATAACCTATCATCTGGTGAATGTCTTTACCAACAACAAACACAGAATTTTAATACTTACTGGAATAATCATTTAAACAAAAGCAGTCCATAATTAGAAGTGCATTTCATGGAGCTTGAAGTACACTTTTGAATCAGAGCAGTTTAAAGTGACTAATGCCTCATTTCAAAATCCCTTTTGAAATATCTTCATAAATCTCGACCGTGCACCATAGCCGACATAATTCAAAATGTTCATACTATAAAAGGCTTGTTTAAAATATGGCAGAAAAGTGAGCTTGACAGCCTCCAAAACGGTAACAATAAAAGGAATTTTGGTTGACAAATAAGCAGCACTTTAAATGCGATTAAAATTTAATAACTTGACAAGAAATCTCTCCATGAAAGATTGGCTTTATATCCCCACGGGCCTGAAAAGCAAGCGATATTTAGCGAGCGAATTTTATGCTAGAATTGATTCACTATGTTAAAATTGAGCAAAATCTTACACTTTGACAACAAAATGCATTGGTTATATTAATGCAGCATTATGTAAAAGTTTTCATGAGCGATATGCTAAAGGACTGAAAAAATGCGGTTACCTTTCAACAAACAAGCGTTCTGCTTTGTTCAAAGGTAAATATAAAAGTGTTTTTTAAATGAAAATGAGAATACTTACTCGAATTTTCCCACCTTGGCAAGTAAAAAACTTCCAAAAGACTGGAAAACATGCCTTGCAATCACCGAATGTCAAGAGAAGTTGAAAGGCAAGAAGCATCATCCACATGAAACTACTGAGAAGTGAAAACAGTAGAACACCTGCCATGAAAACACAAACTCCACGATTTTCTGCTCTTGGAACACCAAATGCCACAATCAAGAACGATATCTCCATTGCTAACAAAGTTCCTCCCAGTCCCATTGTTAGTAGACCACCCAATGAACGTCTCAGCAATGAGTTCAAACCATACACCACTAGCATGAGAGTGAGACCAGTCATTGAAAAGACAAGAAGGATGATCTGTAACCACATGTAAGCTTCATTCACTCCGTACTCAGGTCCAGTGATTTGTTTTGTTTCGTTTTCTGACTCTTGCGGGGTGACAAAGGGTAGTTTGATGTAGCCATCACTGAGGTACTCTTCAGGAATTACAAATATATTTTCCATGCTCAAAAATTCTCTTTTCATGGCCAAAATTCGTTGACCTCTTCTGAAACAAGGCCGTGTCATACTATTCGGTATCTTTGGACTCATCAAGCAACTTGTTCCATTTTCGTCCTTCCTACAGCCTATCTCTATTTGAGGAAAATGAACCTGATTCCTTTCCAATCCATTACACATGGCACAATAGACATTTGCGTAAACCATTCTGTCTTCATAACCAATCACAGGGACAACCAAACGCAAGTTTTCCGATAGCCAGAGTAGTTTATTTTGATCTTCATTGTTCATCAAATGCAGATTGGCTTCGTTGCAGCGATCCTTGAGGTCTTCACTCATTCCTTCATTATCTGGACATGTGACCGCAGCATAAGTTGGGAGACCGTAAGATATAATATCGACCTCGGTAAACTCTTTTTCATAACTAAAGCAAACTGGTTTAAAGAAAGGCCGGTTGGAGGCGATGACAGGTTGAGATCCATTTACAGACGTACAGCAATCACCCTTTTCTCGACACTTGAAATCACAATAACAGTCTTCTCTAGTTAGACATTCTGTTGGAAATGAGTTTTGCTCATGAGTGAGAACTGATAGTAGGAGAAAAATTGGAAAGTGAAAAAGAAAGATCTCTAGATACTTCAGCAGCATCGCTGTCTTTCTGCTCAATGCCACCTTGTGGTTGAAATTACCAGGAATGATTACGAAGTCTTCATGGCTGAACTTGCATGGTTATTGCAGCCTTCTGATTGGTCAACATTAGCAGAGATGTGAATTCGTCTTATTTCTATTAGCTTATCGGACAAGCCAATGTCTTTCTGGTTTTTTTAAGATTTTTGTTAGATGTACAAATATGAATTCACACAAACTTGAAATAGAAATTTTTTATTTGTTACACGGCACCAACCCACGCTTTACGAGTTTTTTCAGTGTTAACGAGTTTAAACTTCCTTGAACTTTCCCTATTACAACTTTAAAGTAGACAAAATTACCTGTTTTCAATTTTCAATTTGCAATTTCCAATGTGCAAAATATGCATCCAAGTTTGCAAAAGTTACCAAAGATAATTATAGAGATATATTCTGAAAACTTGAATTGCTTTACATTTTTCCGGATTTATAATATTTTTAAAAAATCATTTTCAAGTTACAGGAATATATATTCCTCCACTATTTCAGTTAAATTATTAGCGTATTGTTTTACATCGCCATTAAAACGCTTGAAAAACTTGAAAGCTCCTTTTCAGCATCTACGGATTTGAGTGTGTACTAATTTATCTACGTACCACCAGCAAACAATTTTTGCTTCATTATTTTTGCCTGAAATTTTCTAGCATTATTATTAGAATATAAAAGAAATAGTTCCAGATGGGGTGTGCGATAGACTTACCTCCACATTAAGAGCAAATGGGTCTCTTCAAAGTGTCTTCATCTCCAACCCAATTTTAACAGGCGCCCAAACGTGCCCTACCAATGGACAACTCACGATCTACGTTGACAAAATCCTTTATAAAAATTATTTGGTCCTATGTCTCGGAAGATGAACACTGTGGTAAATGAGCACCGGTAGTTCTTCCTGTCTATAACATATAAACTGACACATACCTTTGAACATCATAATGACAGTCGATGATTTTGATGCGCTACTAATTAATAAATGATTTAAGTGTAAACACACAATATCCACGTTGTTCTTGCATATGGGCTTTTTAGCACAACTGGGTTGCCCACGATCCGAGCTTACACATTTCTCCTTCCTCTCTCAATTTATTGTTCACTTTCAACACATTTCCCATTCCACTCTTTTCCAATTGACCAATTTGGCATATTGTCTTGCATAAATCTTAGTCTACCCACTTGAAAAAAGCTGATCCATCATGTTAATCTTTGGAGGAAAGACCATTTCTTTCCTAAGGCAATAATCTAGCATGATTCTTAAAATATCTTTGCTTCTGGCATTAGGGGTGCTTTACCACTTCATCATTAGGCCCAAGGCAGCCTAGATAAGGCGGAAAATTTAGAGAGTTAAGCTCAGAAGGGAATAAAACTTGTCCAAGTGGAGATGCACGTAAGGAATTGAGTTTGCTGTGTTGTCTAGACAAGCATTAGTGGTTATGTGAAGATGTTTATTTGGGTGAATGGGAGAGAGGGTGGAGGTAGGTGGGCGTGGAAAATTAATCCTGCAATTGGGACAAATACTAGCACCAATACTGGCTACACATTTATGCTAATTCTTCCGCTAATTTATGCACCAAAGTGAGATTTTCAATTAATCAAATGTCGAATTTTATTGAAAAAATATAGCTGTTAATATCAGAGTGCCATCTATAGCTTGGTATTTAGTACATTTATTTACTTTCATGCAGTTCAGTCAAGTTAACAATACCTCAATTGAATTTTCGAAAAACACATCAAATTAGTGTCAACTTATTGGAATTCGTTGAATAACTGGACTTAGCTTAATTAATATGATTCAATGCTTCATGCTCTATCGTTACAGGGTTTTTCTATTGCACAATGCACGAATCTCCTTTGTGGGACACGTTATCGCTCTGTGCGTCATCGTATGCTTGCATGTCTGCTCGCCAGGATTGGGAGTTGCGGCCGTACAACTCTGTGTGCAGCGACCGTACAAACAGTGACCAATCATCAACCTCTGTTTAACCTAATACCCCACCCTGATCATGAGTAGCTCCCTGCGTGTACACTTGATCCCCAATATACGTCCTGAATAAACGTGCTGGGGCTATAGCTTAGCTGGTTTTGGGAGTGTAGCTGGATGATGGAGAATCTGCCATAGAGATTTCTGAGTCGGTCAGGCTTTACTAAGGGCTGAGTCGGTCAGGCTTTACTAAGGTAGCAATCCGCTACACCTTTTTAAGTCATAGGGCCTACCGGTAAAGAGTAATGCAACTTAATTATCATGAAGTGAATATTCAATTCGCACATTTTTCTCTTAGTTTCTAACTATTCACCCCAAAAGAACTTCACTCCATCAATCTTACTTTGTGTTTCTACTAGATATTTGGATCACAAATTGCTGAAGTGTTGTGACATTTTCAATAAATATAAGAGGATTTTAAATCTAATTTTTAGTCAAATTTTCTTGATGAAACCAATAGAAAAGCTTGTCCATCTGTCTATGACAAAAATTTTATCAATCAACTAGAAATTCCGAAATAAGATTATATGAGATGTTTTGATAATTGCCATTATATTACTTAACACTTGGTAATCAAATTCAGAAAAATGTGTCATATTGCGGCCTTTACTTGGTACGGCAGTGGGATGGTAGTAAGTTGGAATTATATTTATAACATTAGTTTTACTCTAGGTTGCCTTCTCTATGTTGAATTAATCTCCAATACAGCAAGAAGACTGTCTGCAGCCCTTCGAGTTCATTAGCAAAGTCATCCAGGTGGGTGGTGTCCGTGGATGCCGTGAGTGTAGCCGGTAATATACGAGTTCGCTGTGAGTGCATATACCATTATGAAATGAAGTCATTCTAGTTAGGTCAGAGTAATTGCAGTGATCTGCAAGTCAAAGTAGGAGTTGAGCATCTCATACTCGTAGAGATCAGGTCACAGATCAGATCACAGATCCTGAGAGTATCGGGGAGCACCATATATGGAACAGAATAGTAGTGTCAAGTGCACTAACAACAGGATATAATAAAAAGTATTAGTTCATAATCAATAATAAGCTTATGACATGACATGTGGGATAGCTTTGAATGTACACTTGAACCTATCCCATTTACCTAAATGGTCTGTAGCATGTTTTAACCTCTGTAGTAATGATACTGCCAGTATATTTTCTCATTGTCTAGCAGTCTCGTGTATAAAAGTGCCATTCATAAAACCGAGAATGAAGATGCCTTTAATGGGAATGTATCCTCGAAAGATGTTCACCTACACATCGGCTAATAACTAGCTCAAAAGTGAGCAGGACAAAATCCTTCACCTGACACTCTGTTTGAGAAGATGTAAGCCACCTTAAGATGATCGAAGGTGTACTTTCAAATGGTATTAAAAAATCAAAATTGGCAACTTCAATGGTATATTGTACACCGAAAGTGCCCAACTATTCAACCGCCTCAAGTAGATTTACTAAACGAAATTCGTAACATCCAACACATTTTATGAGTTGTTTCTTCTCATAACGCAAATATTCATTTGTCATTGCGCGTGTCTATGACTTGATGAGTTATTGAGATCGGATCCATTCATTTCTAAAAATGCACCTTTTCATGCACCCGAAATGGGTGATTTCATCTAAATAAAAGCAATCATAATGACTTCCAAATTACTTAAAGTTAGAATCAGGAAATAAAATATTAAAGAGAAATTTTTGCCAATCTCCCAAAGGAAATTTTAACCAGAGAGTACTTTTATGCACAGATTATTAACATCTAATTTGTAATGGGAGGAAGGACGTTGGTTTAGGTCATTGCATTCAACTAACTTCCTGTCTATTCAAATCAAATTTTCATTAGTAAAGTAACGTCATTTAATTATGCCACGGCAATGGAAAATAGTGGGAGACCGGGGGAGACCGGGGGAGACCGGGGGGGGGGGGGGGAGAGGTGATACAAGAATACAGTGTTCAAACCTACAGTAGAGAACGCTTCGGTTTACCAAATGAATTGTGAAGTACCGCAGAGATTTGTGTAGTAATCCATAGTCAATGCTCTCAAACCATTTAAACAAAAATTTTATTTAAAAAGGGCAGATTAATTTAATAAGGTTAATAGAAAAGTATGCTTTACTAGTATGCAATAAAAATCAAACAATTTAGAAACATCATAAAGTTATTTTCACTCTTAAATTGCACATATGATATTAAATTTTGTAATTTTAGCTCATTTGCAATTCCTTTGCATAACACTTCATGTCAGCAATCCAATTTTTTTTCCTTAAAAAATACGTTCAGATGAATTTCACTTTAAATTGTATGCACATATAGCTTTGCCTGCATTCAACCCGTGAAATGTCTGGCGTATTCTATCTCTTCATTGAGGTTGGATATTTCTACTTTCAGTAATTCAATGAAACCCATTGCCCGCAAACAAGTTAAATAATTTTTCTACTAAGGTAGCGTTTTATTCGTCGTATCCGAGCACAAAACTTAAAGCACATATCAGTGGCAGACTGATACCTTAGTAAAGTCTGTCTGACACAGAAATCTCTGTAGCAGATTCTCCTACATCTAGCTAGACTCCCAGAACCTGCTAAGCTATAGCCCAGCTTTGAAGGAAACAGACGCACGGCACGGAACACGTTTATTCTGTAAGTATCTTGTGAGCAAATTGTACACGCTGGAAGCTTAATCATGATCAGGATGGTGGATTTGGTTGAACAAACGGAGGGGACTGATTAGCCACTGTTTGTACGATCGCAGCACACAGAGTTGTACGGCCACACCTCCTTATCCTGGCATGCAGGCATGCGATGACGCACTAAGCGATAACGTGTCCCACACATCTGTTCAAAAGACGATCGACATCTTATTGGGACTCTTAATATGACTAGAATTGTACCAGTTTGATACAAATTTTAATATTTGTTAGTGGAACAATGTATAAGAGCACTTTGGACCAATTTGATTGGACGTGTTGTTCATTAAGACTGGCGGAAGGGTTTAATCTTACCAATATCAGTTAGTGATCTTTCATTCAATTCATTTAGTTACCGATGGCAATTCTAACCTACACTTTTGCCTCCTAATTACTGTTTGAGAATATATTACAGGGTCAAATTCGTAAGAGTTTCAACGAATTCACTCATTTTATGTTATTAGACAACAAGCACTTTTAGTTAGCATTCGCTTGTTGCCAAATTGTTCCACGTGTCATGCAAGAGTTGGCCAACAATGTTAAAATATTCAATATCAAGCGTTAATATATAGGTATTCAAAAGTACTTTTGTTCTAAATTCGGAAAATTTGCATAAGGGTATCACAATTGAGGGGAATATAAAGAGCATCCAGATCGATTGGGTAATTCATACACTTTCTATTCGTGTAAGTCGCGTAGAATAATATATCGAAAATGACTTCGAATTTTAAATTTTTAAAGATAATTAAGTGCGGTTAACCGAAAAAATGACTCTTCCATTTCTGGGGTTTGGAATAGTTTTCAATCGGATTGAAGTTTACGATTGGATTAACTCAAATATGTTTTATCATATTAAGTTTGACACAACACGAGGTTGGTAGTTTGCCGCAAACACCCTGCCAACCCGCTCCCCACCACACCCCATTTCATATATCACATCCTATTCCAATCTCGTTTAACAAGCTCAAAATGAAAGTATATGTGAAATCTAAAGAGAAAGGAAATATGTGTTCAATTTGATGCAACCATTCCATTGTGTTTAACAATCACTTGCAAAGATCAACGTCTCTACTGTGAATGTAGACTCTAATACCTAAAGAGACCCGTGTTCACAGCCCTAACTCTCCATAATCTCGAGGAAAACTAAGCTACAACAACATATGACAACTTCAATCACAGCTTATCTCGACTGCTACACTGCTTCCTCAGTGGATCTGTGTATGGAGATTACATCCTCAAACTGGGTCACTTGACACACTAGCAACTGAACCTGAAAGTTCATGTGAGTTTTATCGAATTGTATTTGGCACTATACCAGGTAGGTAATTTACTCTAAACTTCCTCCATCCCTCTAACCACACCCGTTTACATTACTCACATGGGATGTGCGATAGACTTACCTCCACGTGGTGCGCCCTGGGCAACGTATATTCATACGGCAAAAAAGTCTATTGACTGGCAGTTGACTTCTCACTTCAAAGTACCATCACCTCACTCTATGCCATATTCGAATATTTACACAGTACTCATCTCACCTTTGTTCTACCCTTGTGTTTGTCTCTTACATCTTTGAAACACTTCTGTCCCCCCCCCCTATCGACTTTTTCAATTTGATGTTCCTCCCCTGAAGTCAACTAAAGGGCTAATGATAACCATCAAGACGCCTGTCATTTGATATAAATAAATAAATAAACATTATTCACATCCATTGGAAGACTGCATTAGCCAATGGTCAACAAGTTCGGGGCATTTACAGAAGTCTTTTCTAGATATCAGTACTTGAGGTGCCAACACCCGAACTTTAACATATTCGAATTTACATTTCTATCCCATCTTTATTTCAAATTGATTTGTAGATCATGGGAAAGGGTAAAGCATAGTTAAACACAGAGAGAAATAATTAGCTCCACCATCTTCAGTACCAGTTTACCACAAATTCCTACAAGCTTAAAGAGGACAGTTGATTTGCAATTGTTGTTATTAGATTAATTCCATCAGAAGATTAGCTGGCATTTACACTAATTACCACTTATTGCCGAAAGAGTAAAACATAGTAGTCTTCGACCTACCAAGTTATATCTAGTCAACACGCTTAAATAGAAAATCAAGAGATGATCAAATACTCATTTCATTCATAAAATACCTCAAATAGAGCATTTAAGTTTTCTGGTTTATGACATTCACTGTTCACTCGATTCATCGACACTTTTGTGGTTTGGTCGCATTCTCTTGGGAAGAAGAACTGAAGACCACGTTTTCGAAGAACTCGATGTTTCTCTGTCTTTCGAGTGTGACACAGATAATGGAGCAATGTATCCACGAAACGATTCTGGCAACATGTTTGCTATAGCTCGTCTGGCTTTTACACTCATCAGCATCGAGAGAGCTATTACACCTCCCTGAGCACAGTTCACTAGAGCAAGAATTCGTCTCATTATCAGTGAATGTGGCAACCATCCAGCCAACATTTGCACAAACCAACTAACACCCAGTATGATTGCAAGTTTGCCACAGATTCCAACCAGGTTCTTCCTTTTCTCTCGTCTCTTCTTCTCCTCCTCATTTTCTGGTGAGCATCTGATCTGCGCCTCCTTGGACAATCGACAGATTTGTATACACACCACAATCACAGCCACAATATTGAAGCTAATGACTGTACCCACAGGCACTAGGAACCAAACACACAATCCACCAAAATTCGTGAACCAAGCTCGAGCCGAATCCGGACAGAAACCAGGATCAATGATAGACAGACAGGACCCAAGTACTTCTACTCGAGTGATGTTTTCAAATACACCAGATTGCATTGCTTTTAAATCAGCCTCATCCAGTGTTTTGGATGGTGATGGAGTAGATAGCTGTGTGTAGATTGGAGCTAATTGATTGAAGGCTTTCTCGTTCACCAATACAGCAAGAGAAGACATGCAGAGAGGAAATATGACAGCTGGTGGGGCATATTGCAGAAATCGTTTCTTTGGACTGATCGTACGACGACCTTGTGAGTACACTGATACAGACTAGAGAAGAAAGAAATGGTTCTGTTTGATAGGTAATTTATTTGCATTATCTAAAGTTAATGATTATAATGATTGTGAATTTGAGATAGGTATTTCTATCTGACAACCTGAAGAATTTTAAGAACAGACAATTTGCTAATTGGATTGTTTATAAGATTGGAAATAATTTTGGTCCAGGTCGAGTTAGTCAATGTCCAATAAGGACAGTGCAATTACAAACGTGTTTTCTGAAGATGCATCCACCCAAACTTTGACATATTTGCATTTCCGTTTCCATCGCATCTTTATTTCAAATTGATTTGTGGAACATGGGTACGTGTAAATCATAGTTAAACACAAGATGTTATAGTAGTTGGTTAATTCCATTAAATCTTCATATATTCCACTTATTTACAATAAAATCAATCACATTATCCTTCATCAGACATTGACATGTAGTATTATTGGTAAAATGACTTCAATAAGGGCATTCTTAAAGTCATTATTGCTCTGAAGAATTGTTGTTTTTTATAAATATTTCTTTACTCCTTCACAAAATGCACTGTCTAAAACATCGAACACATTTCTTCTTTAACCAACTTCGTATCACCTGCTTGAACATTACAACATTTTCACCATCATGCATTCTTAAAACAGTTTCTCATTTTATCTACTGATAAGAGCAAATCACATTTTTTTACTAGTTAAAAATTTGAGACGGATTTTAGAAGCATCAATTTTCATAAAGCTAGGTCATATCACTTTACTTCAGCGACAACATAAAAGCTAGAATCAATTTGAAGTGGGATGAATAATAGATTAAGATTGTGGAAAGTTCCCGATTCAAAAGGTATTTTGAATTCGTCATCAACTGTGTTGCCAGCTACCGTGCAACTCTTCGATCTTCTTTTAATTTGTCATATCTCGTTGAATGATAGAGTTAACTACAAACACTCCAAGTATAAATGCAAACAAATACCAACACCTCGAAATAAACAATGCTGTGCCGCCAATCTCACTTCTTTCAGATGGGTTGAACACTTGGTGTTTTTTGCAAAAATACACAAAACCCTACCATTTATAAACAAGAAGGATTGGGCGCATTTTCGCTTCCAATGAGTTGTTTTCGGTCAAATGTTAGGCATTCTTCTGAAGTTTGTCATCTTTATTTAAAAAAATAGTGGTGAGTACGTCTATACTTGCGTAGTCACCATCTAATGAAATGGACCCTTTCTTTCAATATTATTACCAAGTTAAAGGCGTTAAAGAAATTAAGTCAGTTTTATTGCTATCATAACCGATCGTCTTTTGGAGCTTATTTGCAATAATTTATCATTGAAATCAAGGATCATTAAATTCCATAACCAGATAATCTCTGAATACTAAACGTATTTATAATTTTTAATATTCGTCCAACAAACTTGCAAATGAACAATAGCCTTGAAGAAAATATATTCATATTGATGAAAACAATCATACTTACACCAACATCTCCACGCCGGCAAATAATATACTTCCAAACGATAGGAAAACATGTCTTGCAATCACCAAATGTCAAGAGAAGTTGAAAGGCAAGAAGCGTCATCCACATGAAACTACTGAGAAGTAAAAACAGTAGAACACCTGCCATGAAAACACAAACTCCACGATTTTCTGCTCTTGGAACACCAAATGCCACAATCAGGAACGATATCTCCATTGCTAACAAAGTTCCTCCCAGTCCCATTGTTAGTAGACCACCCAATGAACGTCTCAGCAATGAGTTCAAACCATACACCACTAGCATGAGAGTGAGACCAGTCATTGAAAAGACAAGAAGGATGATCTGTAACCACATGTAAGCTTCATTCACTCCGTACTCAGGTCCAGTGATTTGTTTTGTTTCGTTTTCTGACTCTTGCGGGGTGACAAAGGGTAGTTTGATGTAGCCATCACTGAGGTACTCTTCAGGAATTACAAATATATTTTCCATGCTCAAAAATTCTCTTTGCATGGCCAACATGTGTTGACCTTTTCCAAAACAAGGCCGTGTCATACTATTCGGTATCTTTGGATTTATCAAGCAACTTGTTCCATTTTCGTCCTTTCTACAGCCTATCTCTATTTGAGGAAAATGAACCTGATTCCTTTCCAATCCATTACACATGGCACAATAGACATTTGCGTAAACCATTCCGTCTTCATAACCAATCACAGGGACAACCGAACGCAAGTTTTCCGATAGCCAGAGTAGTTTATTTTGTTCCATATCGTTCAAGAAACTCCAACTACCTTCGTTGCAACGAGTCTTGATGCCTTCACTAATTCCTTCATTATCTGGACATGTGACCGCAGCATAAGTTGGGAGACCGTAAGATATAATATCGACCTCGGTAAACTCTTTTTCATAACTAAAGCAAACTGGTTTAAAGAAAGGCCGGTTGGAGGCGATGACAGGTTGAGATCCATTTACAGACGTACAGCAATCACCCTTTTCTCGACACTTGAAATCACAATAACAGTCTTCTCTAGTTAGGCATTCTGTTGGAAATGAGTTTCGCTCTTGAGAGGGAACTGATAGGGGAAGAAACGTGAGAACGTGAAAAAGAATGATGCCTAGATATTTCATCAGCATTGCTGTCGTTCCACTCAATGCCACCTTGTGGTAAAATTTACCAGGAATGTCTATGAAGTCTTCATGACTGAACTTGCTAGTCTATCGTCGCCTTCTGATTGGTCAGCATTAGCAGAGATGTGAATTTGTCTTATTGCTATTAGCCGGTTGGGAAAGCCAATGTCTTTCTGATATTTAAGCTTATTTGTAAACAATGGGCTTGGCGTCCACATTCCTGATTATTTATGCATTCTGACAAATTCGTTTGATGAATTTGTTGATTTTTACACTGCGCCATCATAAATTTCACAATTCCCTCAAACTTTTCCCATCAGAACTTTAGGACTTGACAAAACGGTTTGTATAAAATATCATACAAATTTGAACGCAGTGCCTTTTTCACTTTCGTTGTCCTTAAAATTTATCTATTTCTATAATGTCGTGAACTCGTGCACCATTTCTTCAAAAGTTCATTTTAATCTTGGACTCATTTACAACCTCTTCTTCCAATCACATTTAGTACTTAAAAATGGAAGGAGAACAAACCTTTTGAAGTGCTACATTTATTAGGAAAATGAAAAAATATTAAACAATTGCTATGCCTTTTTTTCACTTTCGACTCTTATGCGTTTTAAATTTAGCCCGCATTTTATCTCAGCAACATTCAACGCTAATGGGAGGGAACTGATGTCACAAGTCATTCTTAAAAGATCTACTCACTTTTTCGTCCCAAATGGCGTTGTGTTTTTATCTTTCTGTCTTTGTTTGTTCAATGTTCAACAAAGTCGGTGCATTAAAAATATGCATACAAACGGTACACATTTTTAATGTGACCAGTAATATAATTACTGAGTGTATGTGGGGAATATGGGGTAGAGGTAGTAAATGAAATTTCCTATTCTAAATTCTTGACTTACGATTTTTAGATTTGCTGACAAAATTAGGCCTTGAAAATGATCCAAATTATTCGTATTTATCATTGTCTATGGACAAACCTGAATAAATGCGAAATTTCCTTCTTCTACTTTCAATTTATGGGCAATAATCGTAAATCCACTCTTTTTCGAAGAATGACATTGGTCATCTTACTGTAAAAGCATGTTACTTGGATCCATCAGAATGCACACGACTGTGAACTCAAATGATCCAATAAATCCAAATTATCATCAAAGGAGATCATTTTAAAATATCTCAGCCCAAGGTGAGTTTTCAGCGTTGGCTCAAATTAAACCGAATCATATAAGGAACAATGGACAATAAAACTGTCAGTTGCTTATTCAAGTACCTCTGCAAATTATTTCATTTCTATCAAATGGCAGGCTTTAGAATAGTTAACGGGCTTCATGTAGGAGAGGAGAAACAAAGTCATAAAAAGTCGAGGGGAGGGGACAGAAGAGCGATTCACAGATATAAGAGAGACGGACACTTATTTTAATATTCATTTTTTAGCACAAACAATATTTAACTTATTTTATATAGGTATGTCATTTCCACTTGACTATGGGAAATAATTCTAGTATTTTTCCACCTTAAATCATGCTGTGTTATTTGTGGATTTGATATCGAGAATAGCAGATTTCCCTCTCCTTTTCATATGAGCCTTGCTTTATTTTTAGGTCTTTGAAAGTATCATCTTTCATGAAGCTAGTGCTGTTTGCGGAGTTGTTTGGAGGATGAAAATTTCAACATTCCATTTGCATATTTCCTTGTTTTTCAAATACTCATAACATTTTTTCAAATGGCAGGCTTTGTGATATTTATCATTAGCCCTTAAACTTTGACTTCAGCTTCCCCCCAAGGGTGGTGGGGTACATTTATAGCAGTTAATCAATAGCAATTCATTAGCATTCGCTCATAACATAACATGTGGCGTTTGTGATATATAACTCCACTGATAATTTCATTTAACAGCAGTCATTTAATCTGTCGAGGGGAGGTATTAAAAGTCTGTATTTCAAGTTGTCTTTTTTACTGAATATTAAGCACTTTGTAATAGACTGAACACTGCTTATAGTTAACTATAACTAGCTAGAGAAAATTTTTAAATATTTATATTTTATGTTTCAACAAAATATTTGTTTTTAAATTTATAGCTATGCTGAAATTTACTCAACAAACTTATTGAGCATTAATTTTCAATACCAATAGAGCTCTAAAACTGAACAACGTATTAAATAGATTACATCTTAAGCATTTTCCCTTCAATGCATACTTAATAGGACCCAATGATTTTTTTCCGATTAAAACTTCATCACTCAATGATCATTACTATAATGCAAAAAGTAGAAAATTTGTTTTCATTCAAAACGAGTGGTCTACTGCCCTGATTCGCCCACATATCGTGTGATAAGAAAGCACTCAAAGTTGAATCATGCAAACATCTTCTAAATAGGCCGGACAATTGGCCTGACGGTTAATGAAGTCGGCGTAAGTATAGTCCTAATTGCTTTGGTCTGGAAATTCCCTCTTTACACGGTAAAATAGAGAGAAGTGGAGGCAGCTTTTTGACGTTAAAGTTCGTCACTTATTATGATCCCGTGGTATGATTAAAAAATCATTGATCCCTAATCTGTATCCGAAACAAAAAACTGCTTTTTCCACATGAATCTCGCCCATCTCCCCAAGTCAAGCGTCTGAATAACATTTACCCGGTGTTCTCGGGAAGCAATTTCTAGTACAGAGCTCTTCGTGATTAAATACAAATTTTTGCGTATAAAATCTTCACATTCTAACTTTGTCTCATTTTTTTTAGTATGAATATAAAATTCGCTTGCAAAGACATGGTGAGATAGCATTTGTAGAAATATTTCCCGCTGGAATCATAAAATATTTAACAGGGGATATAAAAATATTGACCTATTAGTACAATCAACCTTGCCCTACTGCATTCCAACCGCACTTCAGCAGTGCAGTATCATAAAATGCGAGGAGGATTTATACACATGTTCATTCTTCGATTAATTAAGAAGGAAATTTAAAGGAATCCATTCAAGGTCATGATTAATTCAAAAGTGGAATAATTAGATAAAGAAAAATTTCTTTAAAATAGCTCAATAAAATTTTGATCCAAGATAGTTTTATGTTATTTGATGTTGTGTTTTTCAATAAAATTTTATATGAATGATATTTATCACGTTGATATGCATTAATTTTGATTACCTCCTGTCCCTCTGTCTTAAAAATTGAAATGAAAAAAACATTTATTTATTTCAAATGGCAGGCGTTTTGATAGCT